AATAAGTTCATCCATGTGGAAATGAGTATTCATGACCTATTCTCTGAGATATTGATCGATCTCTTGTCCTGTCCTGAGGAAATTGACAAGAAGGTTAATGAGAGAATCTAGCATCTCTGTGATTGAGGGTTTCCTTGAGGGATGATGCCATTGTGGAGGCTCAACATTGGCCTCTATTGCTGGTAAATTTCACCTTGAGGCAATGTTGGGTGATGTATAGCTTCTATCCCTCACCATAGTTATACCATTTATGTGCCCATTGGGTCATACTAGGGTGAACTGATGAGAGTGACTTGGTTGATGTCATTTGGCAGAGTCATTCTATCTACTTCATTTTTGAGTGTCTGTTCTGTAGTGAATGCTCTCATGGGATAAAAAAGATATTTATATTTTGTTCCCAATCCCAAGAGTCTATCCATGTTTATTACTCAGAGTTCCTTGTCTCCGATTTCTTGGTTTTTCTTCTTTCAGGCCCTTGGTCATTTAGCCAAGCCATCTGCCACTGCCATGATTCTTAGTTCTTACCTGTACACTTCTCTTTCCACACAAAATTAATAATCAGGTGCATGGGCTAAAGCTCTGTCCATCAGGAAAATGAATGTTCCCTCACTGATGTCTTTCAGAGCCACCTCTTAGTTGGTCTAGACCAAAACAGTAGTCAAATTTTGGCTTGCACTCACATACTCAGTCAACCCATCAATAAACCAAGTTTAAACATGTTTCTCCTCTGTCATCTGGTCATAGGGAACCCTTAATGTGGCCATAAGTGTCACCTGAGTTTAAGGTGTCATTTCTATAGTGGTAAATGACATAGGGGTCTGGATCACCTGCTCACACATCTTATTTGTGTCCTCCAGCCTTGCTTGTGTCTGATCCAAGATGTAGCACTTTCCAGTAAGATACTTGAACTTCAAAAGTTAAGGAAAAGACAAATGCATAAGAGACACTAATATGGGATATTTAAGGCCAAATATATCTATCATATTACTTCACATAAATGAGTAAAGCTCACTTATTTTAAAAAAGACTTTTGGGCCGGGTGTGGTGGCTCACTCCTATAATCCTAGCATTTTGAGAGGCAGAGGTGAAAGGATTGCCTGAGTCCACAGATTTGAGACCAGCCTGGGCAACTTGGTGAGACCTTGTCTCTCTACAGATTAAAAAAAAAATTAGCCAGGTGTGGTGGTGTGTACCTGTAATTCCAGCTACATGGATGACTGAGGCAGAAGGATTGCCTGAGTCCAGCAGGTTGAGCTTTGTAGCTGTGTTCTTGCCACTGTATTCCAGCCAGGGTGACAAGAGTGAGACTCCAACTCAAAATAGAAAATAAAACAATAAAAAATTTTAAAAAGACTTTTAGATTGTATCACAAGACAAAATCTAGCAAACAAGAGATGTATACTTAATAAAATGATTTAGAAAATGTAAAAAAAATAAATAAAAAGTTAAGCAATGACATACTTGATTATAAAACACATATCAATAATTCAAGTTAAAGCAAATCATTCTGATGTTTACAACAAAACTATATCACATATTTAGACCTAATATACAGTCTTTTTTTTTTTTCACCATGCCAAATTACCAGATAAAGCACAGGAAATGCTACTTTGAGAGAGAAAACCAATGCTGAGTCAAAATCAAATCTCTCTGCCAAAAATTGTGAGAGGCAGTTTGCCCACCCATTTTCTAAGGCAAGGCCCTCTGTTCTCACATGAAGATCTGTGAAGTCTGTGTGTAGCCAGTCAGTACTACCTCCTTATTTATTTATTTATTTTTTTAAGTTGGAGTCTCACTCCATCACTCAGGCTGGAGTGCAGTGGCACACTCACTGCCACCCCAGTGTCAACCTGCTGGTCTCTGGTGATCCTTCCACCTCAATCTTCCAAGTAGTCAGAACTATAGGCATGTACCACCATGCCCGGCTAATTTTTTGATTTACTGTAGAGATGAGGTCTTGCCAAGTTGCCCCGGGCTGGTCTCGAACCTGTAGGCTCAGGCAATCTACTCACCTCAGCCTCTCAAAATGCTGGGATGACAGGCTGAGCCACTAAGCCCAGTCCCTCCTTAATTTTGTAGACCCCATATACTAGACATGTTTTTGACTATTAAGAATTATTTTGAATAATGGCTACCAAATTGTTTCCTACAATGTTATATAAAGAAGGTTAAGAACCATTCGTTTGATGTCACATAAGCTGTAAAAGAAATTTTTAAAATAAGAATAAAATGGGCAAATGATGCTGTACAAGTGCAAACCAAAAGAAACTGATCATGACCTTTACATCATATGGGAAAATTCATGCCAAAAAGCATTAAATAAAGCAAAGATACTTTCTATGCCAAAAGATTCAGTTCACAAGAGTTATAAATATTAAAAATATATGTATTAAATTACATAGCAACAATATTCATAAAACAAAGACTCCAAGCAATACCAGGAAAATCAAATATACCCATTAGTTGCAGGAAATTTTAATTCACTTTTTTTGGGCCATGACACATTAAGGCCAAATAATAAGTGTAGTTATAGAGAGCTTAAGTCTTCCAAAACCTTTTATGAAATTAGCATAAAATTGATATGAAAACTGACAAACATAAAGACCAAATATTGATACAAAAAAACTTAAATAAAATATTACAGACAGAATCCAACAGCACATAAAAAATTATTTTCCAGGCTCTAGTAAGATGTAGTCCAAGAATGCAAAGTTAACTAATATGGGAAATTTGTTTCCATATTTTATCATATTGATAGAGTGAAGGACAAAAATAATATTATTTATTTACAGATGCTAAAGTGGCAATAAATGAAATTCACCAAGCAATCTTAATTTTAAAATAAACTCGGTAAAATAGCAATAGATTGATACTTCTTTAATATTATAAATTATAGTATCATAAAATATCTATCTCACCAAAAAACAGCATAATGCTTACTAGATAAATTAAATCAAATATGTAAACTTTGAAATAGAAATAAGGTGATGCATTATATATGAATTAAAAACATTCTATATGTATTTTCTTGGTTTTGACCATAACATTTTATATCAAAAATTAGGCATTAAATCAGCATTCTTGCGATAATCACTTGTATGTAAGATAACTTACAAAATTCTAGTTGACGCCCCTCCTGGCTAATTTTTAAAATTTTTTTGTAGAGACAAGTTCTCACTATATTGCCCAGGCTGTTTTTAAACTCCTGAGCTCAAGCAATCCTCCTGCCTCAGTCTCTCAAAGTGCTGGAATTAAAAGTGTGAACCACCACGCATAGCCAAGATTTTTTTTTTTTAATCTAGAAAAAAATACAGGTGATTTTTATTAAACTTTTGAATAAGGAAAATTTGATGTTTAAAAAAGTTGTTAAAGGAATCACAGAGAAAGGAGAATGTATGGGTGATATCTTCATGTACTTAGAATGTCTTTGTAAAATACATATGGAATTGATGGGCCTAGTTTTCACTGAGGAAGGAAACTGGTGAAGATGAGAAACAAGGCTGGGAAGAAGACTAACTTTTCACTGTAAGCACTTTCTTTGCATCTTTTGAATTCTTGTAACATGTCTATGTATTAACTTAAAAAAATAACTTAAGTTTCCAATTTAAAAAATGAAAAACAATGAAACTCCAAGAGAGTGACAGATTTGATTATCCAAAATTAACCTGTCAATGAATTACAGCAAAAATAAAAATAAAAATAATGAAACATGGAGACATTATTTACAATCAAATGTCAAATGTTGACTTAATATCCTTAACAGAAAAAGATATTGTACCACAGGGGGACCAAAAAAAAAAAAAAGGAAATGAAGTCATTGAAAGAAAAATAGACACAAGATACGGCGAGCAGTTCCCAAAGGAGAAAATACAAATGACCAATAAACACATAGACATAGTCAACCTCACTTTTGATCAAGGAAATTTGTAAGTAAAACAGCAACAAGATGCTGTTTTGTCCTGATCAAATTAGCAAAAATTAAAAATACTCTTTTCTTGCAAATGTATAATGAGGAGATGATGCTTTTACCCAGCAAACAGGAGTTTAAATTAGTAAGAACTTTCTGGAACATAGTTTAGCAGTACATTAGCATGAGGCTTCAAAATGTTTCTGTCTTTTGTCTCAGAAATTTTATATTTATGGAATCTAGTCTATAGATAATCTACAGTGTAGAGTGGGCTTCATGTACAAGATGTTTACTGCCCCATTAGTTATAGTAGTAAAAAAAATAAAAAACATTATAAAAGCTGAACTTGTAATTGCACAGAAAAGCCCTATCACTTCTCTTCTCTAACTGCACATCATGGTATAAGGCTCTAAACACTTTGTTGCTCTGTGATGTTTCCAGTTTTGTGAATCTGCCATGTGAAGTTCACAGTCAGACCAATTTTCCAAGTTAAAGCAATGGGCCTATTTTCCACATTTAGATGTTTGGGAGGGTCCCATTATCTCTCAGTAAAGATGATGAGGGAGAATTAAAGCAAGCACATGGAGGGAAGTTTGGTCAGGGAAAGCTAAAATGGGTTTGGTTATTATTTGAGTAGAAAAGGGAGTGATGAAATGTGTTCTATTGTATCTAGAAACAGAGAGAAAGCTAATGAGGGGAAACTGAAGGGTAATTTGAAACATTTCACAGAACTTACAGAAATGTCAGAGTGAAAAGTAACCCCTGACCTGTAATGAACTTAGAAACTGTAATGGTCTAAAGATTAAATCCATTCTCAAGTGATTACCTAAGCTCTGTGGGACTCCCAGGACTCCCTGCCTCCATTTTAACATGTCTGCCTATCTGCCTCTTCCACAAGATTAGGCTCTCCAAGGAGGAAGGCCCTTATTATATTGGGCATTACACCCTCACCCCTCAGCACACAGCCTGGTGCCTTCATTTTCTAAATGACTGAGTTAGTACTTTGTCCTTTGAAGTACATTTGCAAGAAAAGAGTATTTGAAGGGTAACTTTCTAGAGTATTATTTCATGTGAGGGTTTTCTTTCCAAACAGGATTACCAAACCAATAACAATGACCAGGCAGTGGTTGAAATCTGTATCACAAGAATCACAACAGCCATCAGAGAGACGGAGTCCATCGAAAAGCACGCAAAGGCGCTGGTGGGGCTCTGGGACTCCTGCTTGGAACACAACCTGAGACCCTCCGGGAAAGATGAAGACACCCCTCATGCAAAGATCGCATCTGATATCATGAGCTGCATTTTGCAGGTATGTCGGTGTTCGGCGTCAGGCTATTTGATACTGGGTTGGCGGCGTTAGGTGAAACACATGATATCTCTAAACCAGGAGCCAATGTTTCTGTAGCATTTAGATACTGTAAAAAGACACCACAAGCCATCAATAGCTAAGCCGGGTAGTCTGCTAATTACACTGAGAAAGTTCTACTGAGATCCTAGTATATGCAAGACACACCATGGGGAATTCAGAGTAATACCATAGCAAACCTCTAATCTATGTGGACAGATAAGATGTGTTCATATCAAAAGCTAACAATCAAACAATATGTGTCAAGTTGCAAGGGAGGAGGACTAGAAAATTCAAAAGAGGGGACTTGAACTCTGGACATGCAAAGAGAAGTGACTCTCTTAAAGTATATTCCTATATATATTGAGAATTTTCCATGATGATAGTTGCCTGTTCTGATCACGATTAATTCCTTCCTCAGATGTAAACACAAATTTGGAAGTTTGGCTCAGTCGTGAACCAGTTGTGTAGCTTTGAAATGCTGGGCAATTCCTTAATTTCCAAGGCCACCATTTCCTCCCTGGAAGGTGCAGGTTAAATGGCATTATTTATGGCAAATCTGCCAACCAGTGATGTCGATAGGTGTTTCTCATACAAGAATCCTATGGCTGAATCAGTTGGGAAACACTGAATTCAATGTTTCCCTTTTGAGGTGTCACACCATTTCACAGCATATTAAAGGTTCTATAAAGTCCTGCAATAAAGAAGCCTGGTTAACTTTTCGCCAGTATTTTCCAACCTGATTTGACCAAGGAACTTTCTTTCTCCTCCCCGTCCCCAACACATTTATGATCATTCCCCAGAACCTGTGTTTCATGGATCACAGGACAGGGAATTCTAGTTATGTTCAGTGCTTAGCACTGCATGTGACAGCTGATATTAGCTTCCCCTTTCTCCCTCCTCCTCCTCCTTTTTCTTCTTTCTTTCTTCTCCTTTCCTCTCCTTTCTTCTTCTTTCTCTTGCAGTTGTCTATGCTTAACTGGGTCATATTTTATCTTACCTGCTCAGTCCAGGGACTGGTCAACTCAACTGAAGGTTCTTGATGCACCACCATTCTGTTTCTCCTTTGTCCCCAGATGAGTTAGAGATGATTAGGGGAAGGAGGAGTGGAATTTTAGCAAAATTGATGAAAGACAAAAGATGAAACACCAAAGACCCCACACATGTTCTTTACTAGTAATTTTGAATATATTATATATATATCAGAAACATAGTATTTCACTCCAAGGAAACACTCCACAGACATTCACACACTTACAAGTCAGCCATACTCTCCAGCTCGCTCTGCAGGTCTAAAACCACTGGTCTAGACTCTAGAGCACTGCTCTCCAACAGAAATCAAAAGGAAGCCATATATGTAGGTTTAAATTTTCTGGGGGTGGAGGCAGAGGGGCAGGGAATGAAGGGGGGAAAAGAATATAAGTATTTATTATTACTGAGCTGTATACAAAAAAGGATAACGAAGGTCAATTATTTACAAGGGGTGACCAAAAAACAACCCAGGATTTACTTATAAAAAATTGTGTATTTATTCTTATGTATTCAAACTCCAGTCACCTTCAAAGTACTCCCCATTTGAGGCAATACACTTATCAAGACGCTTTTTCCACTGCTCAAAACAGTTTTTGAATTCATCCCTTTTCATACCTTTTAGTGCTTCTGCTGCTTTTTGTTTCACCTCTTACACATCAGCAAAACGTTTTTTCCCTTTGAGGACTTTTTTCACCCACAGAAGCAAAAAAAGTTGCTCGGGGAGAGATTGGGTAAATAGGAAGGGTGGGGCATGGGAGTCATGCTGTTTTCAGTCAAAAACTCCCGTGGTGTGGGCAGGTGCACTCATAAGTCACCCATCGTGAAATGGGCAAATGGATTGAAAGAATCTCCCCAAAAAATTCACTGTTGCCAAATTGTGTGAGAGACTATATGTACCGATATAGGTCTTCTTCGAGCTTAACCTTCTTAAGAAATTATCGGGGCTAAATGTTAGGTTAAATAGTCTGCATTTAGCATACATCATCTGAGGTTTTCAATACACTGAACTTTTTATCTGACCTAATTCATGGAGAAATTTTTGTCTGAAGGAGCTTATTTAGTGATTTTGTTTATTTTAGGCAGTATTCAGCAGTTGTATTCGAAGATAAGCCCCCAGAGTTCTGGGTTGTTAGGACTTGTACCCTTCTTAAATGTCTAAAAATTTCCCTTCAGCAACTGCTTTGGTAAGTTACAGTTTAAGAATTAAATAGTTTATGTAGGTGTGTTTGTGTGCGTTAAATATTTTCTTTAACTTGAATTAATCACAACCATGTATTTTCTGGCCAAAAATGCGTGTTCAGCAAAGATGATCTAAATAAATGGAGATAACTGTAAAAAAAAAAATTCACTGATGCTGAACACAGCCTCTCACAACAATGCTAACTGCTACATCGATGCAGATGGGTTCCTAAAACACAGGCTCAGCCTGTAATCCCGCGCCTTTGGGAGGCTGAGGTGAGTGGATTGCTGGGTTCGAGGCCCGCCTGGGCAACCTGGCGAGACCTCATCTCTACAATAAATCAAAAAAGAGCCGGGTGTGGTAGCGTGCGCCTGTAGTTCCAGCTACTTGGAAGGCTGAGGCGGAAGGATCACCGGAGCCCAGAAGGCGAGGCTGCGGTGGCCAGGAGCGGCCACTGCACTCCAGTCTGTCCAGTCTGGGCGACGACGGAGTGAGACTCCAACTCAAAAAAAAAAAAAAAACACTTACCTAGCAGGGAAAGCCTGTACTATAAGGGGCCTGCCTTCCAAAAGATAATTCTGGTTGTTTTGGGTCTTCCCCTTGTATTTATATTCTATCTCAATGAAAACAAATTTTAAAAATTCCAGTAGTCACAACTAAAGATAAAATTGATTTTGATGATATATTATTCTTAATACATCCAAAATGTTATTACTTCAACATGCAATCCATATAATAATTAGTGAGATAAATAGTTTACTTTTTAAAAATTTTTATTTTAGTTTAGTTTTAAAAAAATTTTAGCCCGTCTTATCTTGGACTAGTCACATTTCAGGTGAATTTAGCACAGTTCTAGAGAATCAGAGGAAGTTTTCTGGATGGAGATCATGTCTGGAAAGGGTTATGAGCCATGAGCAGGGGTTTCACCAGAGAGGCAAGATAGAGTGAGAGGACATTCTAAGCATAAAAAACAGTATTTGTGAAATAAGACCAAGGTCAGAGAATGGTAAGCATGCTATTTTTCCAAAATGCCCCAAATTCTAATGTAGAGGGATGTTTTATTCTGGGTAAGGCATTAAAGCAGGAATCAAACGCTTTTGAGAAATTGAAATGCTAAACTTAGTGATGATGAAGACTCAGTGTAAATGAGTTTGTCAGATTGTTGACAGCAGAGCTTAAGGACTAAAATTTGGGGAAGGGACAGAGAGAAGGGCTGAGGGCTTGGCCTCTTGGTTGAGAGGGACAAGTGAAGCACAGAAGTAGGCAACTCCAGTTGTAGAGGCAGTGTGGGCATGTAGTGTCCGTTGTGTGCCCTCAGGAGGAGACACTACTCTAATGGAAGGCAGGAAGCCCTAAAGGCAAACTTGCCTTTAAGCAAGATTCAACATCTTGTGTTGACCATCCCTGGGATGAGGTCCCAGAAAGTCAGCCCCAGGAAACAAAGGCAAAGCTGTGGTCACAGAATTTGTTTTTAGCTCACCAAATTTTCAGGGAAGCATTTTGGCTTGCAGTAAACATTACAAGATTGAGTTTGTACTTACCTGTAATTTAGGTTCTTGCGGGAACCATGTAGAAACCCATATGACTCATTTTGGTATACTTTTTCAGTAAAAGGTGGACCAACTTTCAAAAGTTAGGTCCTCAGTATTTTTAGCTTGCATGAAGTGGAAGAAAAGAGACTGATTTCCTCTCTACCTCACCCCACCCAAGATAAGAAACTCCAGTATCATACTGTGTGGTCAGATAGGACCCAGACATTTCTTCTTCCACACCCTTGGCCCTTCATTAAATTTGTTTTTCTGGCCATTTCACTGTCATTTTAAGTTAAATATGTTCACACACACACTTTTTTTTTTGTATTTTTCTTCCCCCCTTCCACTCCACCCCCCCACCCCC